ATGAGGCCAGATAATGTGGGTTGAAATCCCATTCAAAGTTTTCCCCAGCTGTAGAGTTTCTTATCTCTAATCACCCATCGCCAACCCTCTATCACAAAGTCTCTCTCTCTCTCTCTCTCCTCTCTCTCTCTCTCTCTCTCTCTGTGAAAGTATTCTCAAAAATTCGTGTTTCGCTTTTCGCCCCTGTTTTCTCAAATTTGTCAATTACAGGGATGTTGTGGCAATTCCCCATTCTTGTACATTTCAAATATAAAGAGATAAGTGCAATATCAGAGCACACGCATATCTATATTTTCAGCAATTATGATTTTTCTATTGCACACACACACCCACCCACACACACACACACACACACACACACACACACACACACACACACACACACACACACACACACACACACACACACGCACTCACACTTTCTTTCTCTCTCTTTGACTCTTTCTGCCTCTCTATCTGTCTGTATGTCTTTCTGTCTCTCCGTCTCTCTGTCTCTCTGTCTCTCTGTCTCTCTGTCTCTCTGTCTCTCTGTCTCTCTGTCTGTCTCTCTCTCTCTCTCTCTCTCTCTCTCTCGCTCTCTCTCTCTCTCTCACTCTCACACACACACACACACACACACACACACACACATAAATGTACATACAAACATACACACACATAAACAAACACACACACACTCTCTCATTCACACACACACACACACACACACACACACACACACACACACACACACACACAAACATATTATGCACTTATATGAGTGTGAATGCATTTTTGATTCCATTTAAAAAAACATACATCAGTGTTAACCTCAGTACCAATACTACTCCACAGATAAATTTGTTCTTCTTCCTTAACATCATCCGAGTATTATTCACCAAAATTCGAGACTGCAACACGCGAGACCCCCGTCGATATAGGTATGGATGTTATCTTTCTTTCACTAATACTAATAGTTTTGTGTTGGTTGTCACTACTATTTCTAAAGTCTTTTTTACTACCTCACCTTAATATCCTTCAGTTCAGTTGTCATTTTTCTTAACTTGTAACATGGATTTCATTTTGGTCTGTATTTTGCTACCAAAAGAAGGTCATGACAGTTCTCTGTTCTCTATCATCTGTGACAGCAATATCAGTGGGATCAGAGCGAGTCGTGAACTTATCTACATGTATAGAAAAGCTCACCTTGAATCAGAGCAAAGTAAGAATTAATATACCCGATATGATGCGTGAGCCAGCGATTGTGTGTGTAGGGTATAAAGGCACAGTCAAGTATTTGTATGAGTGAGTGGTTCATTAGTGCTGAGTTTTATTATTACATGTATTATTATTATTATTATTATTATTATTATTATTATTATTATTATTAGTATTATTATTATTATTGTTGTTATTATTATTATTATTATTATTATTATTATTATTATTATTATTATTATTATTATTATAGTTAATGTGATGATGATGATGATGATGATGATGATGATGATGATGATGATGATGATGATGATGATGATGATGATGATGAGTAGTAGTAGTAGTAGTAGTAGTAGTAGTAGTAGTAGTAGTAGTAGTAGTAGTAGTAGTAGTAGTAGTAGTAGTAGTAGTAGTATCATTATTATTTTTTTCGTTATCATTACACCCCTTTTATCATTTGACCGTCTCCAGCTGTCAGCGCACTGATTCTCCTTAATGTACATCGTAACTAATGCACTGCCAGCACATTAGCGTGTATGCTATACGCGCCATTGCGCTTTACCCATTACGGCGGGACTCTCGTGTTGATCTGCCTTTAATTAATAATTTCTATCAATTAATTTTGGTAAGTCTTTTTTCTGTACGACAGGGTGTAATATGCGCAAAATATGCGCTCTCATAATATGGCCTTAGGCAGTTGGGAGCGTCGTAAAACTCTTACTAAACTAAAGGGTATGGTATCGTTAGAGTGTGTATGATTTTCTCATACGTATTATCCTCCTTTCGTTTGTCCACCCCCCCCCCTCCCCCTCGAAAAAAAGGAAACTTGCCAAGTCGACGCTGGTACTCATCCCGCTGTTCGGAGTCTATTACATATTCTTCATTGTCCTGTCAAACCTCAGGGAGCCTAAAGTGGCGGTTGTCACTCTATACCTGGAGATGACAGTTAACTCATTTCAGGTGCGATTTCTTCCTTTTTTCTTATCTTGCTCCTCCCTCCTCCCACTCCACCCTCTCTTTCTCCATCTCTCTCTTTCTCCCCCCCCCCACTCTCTCCCCCCCCCCCTCTCTCTCTCTCTCTCTCCATCCCAATTTTTTTTTCTGGGGGTGGTATCATTTTAAAGCTCTCACGAGACATCAGTGGGAAAAAAATGCATTTCATAGCCACTTTCCCACAGAAACAATCTTAAGTGTATGTAGACAAACAGACAGACAGACAGACAGACAGACAGACAGACAGACAGACAGAGAGACAGAGAGACAGACAGACAGACAGACAGACAGACAGACAGACAGACAGACAGACAGACAGCACAATTCTCATTTGCAATATTGTTGGCTGGAAGGAAAAGACAATTTAATTTAACGTTTGCTACCTTTTACAATCATTCTGACTCGCTATTCAGTGTGTTGCCAATTTACACATTTATCAATAAGCGTGTTGTAAACGCACGAGTAAAAACAAGAGTGTATTTTACACCAATGAGATATGAACCTTTGAAGTGCCACTTATAACAGGAGTTATTTTATTTGATATTCTAGATTTTTCTTGCACACATTTTGTTACCAGGTTCGTTAAATTTGTCTGTTTCTCAGGGCACGGTGGTGGCTTTCCTCTTCTGCTTCCTCAACGGAGAGGTATGTATACTATAAGTGTTCTTTGACCTCAAGAAGAATTAGACACTAGAAATCAGGCATATTGCTAGGCAGCATAAACAAGCGTCTTCACGAAACTTTAGTGATGGGTGTTGCTGCTTCTTTCTTGTTTTTTCTTTTGCTGTTTGTCTAGTTTTACAAGTTCGTTTGAAGGTCCAAAATGTTGCAGAATGTATCTTCCTATATTACGGCCAGGTCAGGCGAAACAGCTTCGACTCGGCATTTATAAGGACTAATTGTGTTGCAGGTGCATTGAAACTCTAACTGCATCTAAAACTAAACGGTTTCGATTGCAGACAGTCTACCAGAATGGCATACAAGTCCCACAACAAACAAAGACGACAACAGCACTAGCAACAAAAATAAATACTATCGTATGGTTAGGCTATTACCCCTCCCTACCGCCCCCCCATACACATAAATGAATCGATTTTTTTTTGGTACGTGCACTAATCAAATTTTCTTACCTTCCCTCTAGGTGCGGACAGAGATCATGAAGAAATGGCACCGCCACTGGCTCAGGCGTCAGAGTGTCGTTTCTGGTCGCTCCTCGCGTGCCTGCTCCACTACATCGTATTTCTTACGCGACCGGCCCAGCATGAGCCACGGCATCCCGCTCACCGAAGGCCACTCACCACCTCGTTCCCCCAACAACGCCACAGCTGTGGCCTCCACATCCGTCCACGACCTGGGAACTGCTAACAGCCTCAACACCTGTGGCGCCAGCAGTACTCAGGGCTTCCACAAAGTCGCCAGCATGCCCAAAATGGCGGCCAACTCCAATTCCCCTAAGGTGAAGGCCATACCTCGAGTTTCGAGTTCTCCAAAAGTCACGTTCAACTGTTCTGATAACTTAGCGGACTCTGCTGTGAGCCCTCCGTTGTCTTCATCTCCTGGCAGTGCCTTGTCCTTCAAAGCAAGACCGTTGTCTGCCAGTAATAACAACAATGAAGCCGGTGCTACCAAGGAAGAGATGGCACTGCTGTTGAAAGAAGGCGACAACCATAACTTTTCAAATCAGAATCCTGAAATAAAGGACTCAAATGGTACTGACCAGTACTCAATCAAAACGATGCCAACAGCTGCTCCCCAGAAAGGTCTGTCTCTCGCAAAAGACAGCCGAGTGTTGAAGCCAAGGAACGGGGCCGAGGAGGGGAGGTCAACGCTGAAGCATGTGTCAAGTAAGAATGGATTGCCACCTCTTACAGATGTCAAGGAAGACGTCTCAGAAACGTCTCCGATGGTCAACTAACTGACTTATGTTTCTTTCACTAGCAAGTGTTATCCCTCGAGTGGAACTTTAAAGAATAGCAACTTAAACATAATATTATGACAGATGAACACACAACACATCGTTATGAAGTTTGGTCTCTCACTCGGTACAGTGACGGGATCCTAAGGAGTTAATGCTTAACATGTGTGGAGTGTGGATAGTTCCCGGTAAGAAATACACCATTGACAATGATTGCGCAGCTCATGCTATAACCATTTTTGTAAATGTATATACCCGTTCCCTACTTCTCCTGTGCAGAGAAGATTCTTGTACAGTTCAATGCGTAGACGTATTTTCTTTGTACATTCTATTTTTGTTTTTGTCTTTGCTTTCTTCCTCTCCACAGACCTGTACATGCAGTGGTCAAAGAATGGTCAAGGTTTGGAATTAAAAACTAAATAAAACGGAACCTCTTAAGTATGCAGGCGTACACATAGACACAATTAAATGACCTCAACGCACTCGTTAGAAATGGTGTGTTGTATTATGCTGCGCAGTCATTCATTTTGAAAAAAATAAGAATGAAGAAGAATCAGTGATTTTACAAAGGTGGTTTGAGAGAGGATTAGCCACAGCAAAAGCATCAATGATTGTATCATGCGTAGGTGCATGCATAAATAGAAGAAGTTTATGAAGCTGATAGCGTGCTTTGTACTTACATAATAAAATAACACACTTATTGTAGAGTACATTGATTTGGGGGTTGGGGGGGGGAGGGAGGGGTGCCTTCTTTTTCATACATGTGTACAAAGAGAGAACGAAGGCGAGGATGGGAATAGCACGACAGGCTTTATTTTGGTTCGGAACTCCTTTTACTTTATCACTGTATTTTGTATCACTGAGAGTATTGTGTACATAAATGTAATAATTCTTCTGACAAATCTATTGAAAAAGATTGCTGTGCATAGCATATTATGTTCTGATATGTTGAAGTAACAAAATGTTTTTACTGATATTATTTATGCCTGATAATACTCTTTTGTTGAGTAGTGTACGCGTAAAAAAAATAATTCACTTTGTTCTTGCTTAACACTTGCAAGGCATGTCCTTGATAATCTATTATAATATATTTGGCAACTTGGAAACACATGTGTCACTTTTCCTATAAAACTACGACAGCTACAGAGTTGAAAGTTGGCAAGTACCTGCAAAAAGATAGATAGGTCCCCATGACGGAGCCCGATTTTTTATTTATTCATTTCCTGAATTTAGAAAGATATTGTTGACAAAAAGTTCCCGTCCTTCTTTGGCCTTTGTCATTATTCTACTGAGAAACAAAACAAATTTGCGTAGCTCTCCTTCACAACGGAAGTTCATTACCGCTCTTTAACGTTTGCCTAAGAAACACGATTCAAGAGACGGGGTGAGTAATATTCGAGACTCGCCTGTAGTACGTGGAGACGTGATCCTGAGTGGAAATCCAAAGAGTTGCTTTTAATATTGGGCCCAAAGAGAAAAACTTTTTTATTATTGGGTTAAGATATTTTGAAAAAATATTTATGTTTCGTAGCTAGATATATCTAGCTTGTAGAAGAGCCATGCAGAGTTTTTTGGGCATAGGTAAATTTTTCAATGAGCTAGAATTGTTTTAACGCTGTCAGAGGAAAGTGAACAAGCCATAGACACTGCCTCTGTGATTTTGAAGACGTCGGTGTGTTCCTTTTACAGTGTAGCAGCCCTTTCGTGGATTATTATTTTCTTAGTGCTTTTTTATGTGATGGTGTAAGGCGAAACCCGTATTTTGTGATTGTGAAGGGCTAGACAGCAATACACTAAAACAATGTAGATCAAGAGAGGAGTTAATCAAGGCAGACCTAATCTAAAGCAATATAGATATAGAAGCCAGGTGTGATTGTGAAAGGCTAGACAGCAATGTTGATGTAAAAAGTAAAATGCCTCTGCAGCGTAGACCAGTAGGAGCAGTGACGCCAAGGCGTCGACCGCGAGCAAAGCCGGATACTCAACTAGTAATATTATGTTTGTTTTTTGTTTTGTTTTTGTAAAGTGTTTTACGGCGCTCGCAACTGCATAATGTCATATGAGCGCGCGGGACACACCTAATATTTTCAGTTGGTAGGAAATTTTGAATTTTGCCCGGGTGGCGGCCGAAGCCTACTCTTGTCGATTTTAGACCACCAAGGGATCTTTAACGTGCGCAACTTGCACACGGGTCCTCCGAGATTTTTCGTCCTTTTCCGAGAAGGCTAGTTGTAGATCTTTCCTACCAGAAGATCAGGGGTGTGGCAGAAAGACAGCAGTTAGGAGGAGCTAAGGAGTAGCAGTAGAAAGGCTGCAGAAAGAGTCAGGAGCCCAGAGGAGGGGCCAACGGAGGTGTGGGGGTGGGGGAAGAAAGTGGAAATGAAAGCAGACAACAGAACATTGCTAGAGATCTGGAAAGGATGTGAAAGGAGACAATTTTAGAGAAGAAAATTTTTTGGTCGCTACCCGGAATCGAACCCGGGACCTTTGAATGAGAGGCCAACACCTTAACTTCTAGGCCACGAGAGCCCCCATTATGTTTGTGAAGTCAGTGTAGTTGGATGACTGACTGCTAAGAGGCAGAGCAAGCTGAAGTGACAATATTTGGAAGAAAATTCACTGTCAGTGCCGCATTTTCCTGTGCCTGTATATACATCTTCTTTTTTTCCACCTGAATGCGATTTTCCTTTAACGTCTTCGTCTCGTGTCTCTCTGTCTCGACTGAAGTTCAATAGGCTGCATCATCACAAATATATGCTTGAAGTCGTTAGGTCAAAAAAGTACCCAAGTGCCATTTGGGTGCTCAGAGAAATTATTAGCTTGAAGACTTCTTAAAGAGTGTCCTCTCTCAATAATCCATGACTTTTCTTCCTTTTTTCCGGAAAAGAGGAGGGAGGGGGGGGGGGGGGGTGAAATGATGATTAAACAAACAGCAACTCAGGTACTTCCGCAAATTTCAGACTGGTCACCCCAAAACCAGAGAGCGAAAATAATACTACAGCATAATGTGAAAACGAAAAAGAGCGGTCTCATTAATACGATCAAATTAGAATAAGAAAAATAGCCTTCAGGTGCTTTTCCCAATGATACTTTCCAACCAAAGCATAGGGGTACAGTTATGGGAACTGTAGCGGCTAGGCGCTTCATCGTTGCACACAGTGAACGTGAGTTCAATTCCCGTGTAGGGAGAATGTTCAATGAGTATTCCGTCCTTCTGCTGGGACGTTGTATCCAACTCAACCCGGGTTGACACTGACATGCAAGGTTGAAACAGCCTGCCTCCCACATGATCCAAATTGTCTCAAAAAGGGCGTAAAACGCTTACATTTTTTAAAAAAGTAGTCATAACAGAAAATGTTGTTGAATCTCTAGTTTCTATTTAGTTTTATTTTATTTTGTTGTTGCATTGTGATAGGTCCACTTTAGAAATTAATAATTCCACATGTTCATCTCGGTGAAGTGTCAGCAAATTTTGACCTGGCATAATGGTATAAAGTTAAAAGAATCATATCATTATTATACTTGTCTAATCCTTTTTTTCTGCTTTAAAATCAAATTAGTATTCTTGAGCGTAAGAACGCTAAAGCATATTATTGATATCCAAATTAATTGATCCCACACTGCCTTGTTGAGAATATTTTGCTCTATAAAACGTTGCCATTGCAATGCTACTGTGAAGCTTTCAGTAAAGTCTACTAATTGACAGATTCGGTTTCTTCTTTTTACACAGTTAACAAAGTTAAACATTAATTTACTAACTTATTTGTCAGATTTTGTTAGATGGAAGGGGCTTTGGATATATATTATTTAGTCACCCTATTAATTCATGCTCGTGCAACTTTTCCAGTATTATGGTACTGGCTGAGTAATTAGCTTGTATGCCTATAGTGTGGTAAATGAAAGAGGGAGAGGTGGGAACGCATGTATGGTCGTTTTACATAACCGAGTTCGTTTTTTAAAAAAATATTAAAGCG